ACAATCAGATTACGTCACATGTCGCAAATTATTTATACTTCACTGTCAACACAATTCCCTTCATTGACTTATTTTCCATACATCCAAAGTGGACTTTACCAAACGTAACAACACGTCAGCATTGGTGGATGCATTCGATCTGGAGTTTTCAGAATATATTACGCAAAGAAAGTGTTGCTTTCCGTGCAGCTGTCTCCACCCGGTGAGAAAGTAATCTTGGAAGACATTTAAAAGTAATACAAAAGTTTGTTTTTTCCTGAATTCTACATCGTCTAAGCGAATGCCGTCATACTACCTGAACTTAAAACGAAGGGGACGAGTGTCATGTGAAAAACTTGGTGAATGACCCTCAGGATCAACAGAGGTGAGACAGTGCGTGTTATGGTATGCAGAGTGATTAGAAATTAGGTATTCATGTGAAGCCTTTTCTGCAAAAAGAAATTTGGAAATGGCCATCGTTTTGAAATTAGAAGAGAAATATTATACTATATACCAAGATTCATGTAAATTACTGCCAGTCAATAGAATGCATTGTTCAGATTAAGGCGTGCTAAAGAAGGCGTGGTGTAGGTTTTTGCGACATAGTATCATAATTAAAAACACAAACTTGCATTTGATATATTCGCATTGATATACCTTGCTGATTGCATAGAACAAATTGTGACTATTGATTGTGACGTTTGGTGTCTTTATCCATTGTGTAGAACGATATTTGAAAAGTAAAATAAAAATGTGTATTTTGATTCCTGTGTCCACAGTGGTTTATTATATTTTCAGACACATGGAGTTAATGGAATTTATAATAATGCAAGGGTTAATAATAGTGATTTCTGGGTCCTTAAGAGAGTAAAACAGTTTTCTGTCATTAGCATCATTTTAACCAACCGAAATCATACCATATGCTGTTTACTGTTTTTTTGACAGAAAAATCGTTTTGTGGTTCTCTGATACCCTAAGAGTATTTTTCATGCTCTTATTTGTAGTATATTATATTCTCTAATTCGTATCATTGTCAGAATCCATGTTTTGTGGTTACGTAATGAAATATCTGCATTCCAAATCAGTTCAATACAATTTTATTCACAATCAGTACACATGGCCAGGACAACACAAGGATACAATTCGCATTTGCCTCAGAGTCAAGTCCAATAAAACGGAGCAAAGTCGATCAAAGTCCAAGGGAGAAAACAAGTTATACTAGCCAAAGCATGAAAACAATTTAAGTGACCTGAATGGGCGCCGAATCATTAATTGAAGGGCCGTCCTCTCTTCTCTGTCACATTATATTTCCTCCTCTCTAACTGCCCTCCCCTCCCCTCCCCTCCTCGTTCTGCGTCACGTGACGCGCCGTCTTCTGTTCCCCGCTGCTGCCTCTTCTGGGCAGGGGAGGGGTTATAACCCGGCCTCACTGGCAGTTTCTTCGGGTGCGACGCGTTACTGACAAAAGCTTTTCCTCCTTTCTTTTTTCCCAAAACATTCGTCCGTCCGTATGCCTCTCTGTTCATTCATCAGTCCGTTCATCAGCCTGTCAACAGCTCTAGCCCCTAAACTATTCGTAGCTTTAATCTCAAAATTAATATTTCCCGATCTGATAAAAAAAACGACTGAAAAATGTAGATAGTGTTTAATCACAATATAAAATATCAATTATACGGAAATGAAAAGTAAGCCAATTCGTTAAATAAAATGTTCTCTATATATTGTGTCATTACATTTTGTCTTAAATTAGTAAATATTACGGAAAACATCCAGTTTTGAATCTTATGCGCTTAAGAATTAGCAAGTGAAAAATGCTATATGTGGTTGTTTTGACAAGATCAAATGTTTCAGAGATTAAGTGTGGAACTTGGAATATTGAAAAACCAATACAGTACAGCATTTTTGTACTCGTTGTTTAATCACGTTCTGTTGATTTCTAAGTTGAGAGTTTGTTGTTGTCATGTTAAAATTCGCACTGTATTACTGAGATGTACTCCCTGATTACCTTATATGGAATACCTGACACACACAAGAAACTCCTATAGATAGCAGAAGTCGGCAGGTGCTGAAATAACGTTAATGTTTCTGGCATCAAGCAAGCATACCAAAAAAGCGATCCTTTTAAAAAGAATGAATTTCCAGTACAGATAATTCGAGCATTTCCTTGGAGAAATGTGTGACGTAGACGAAAACTGGTAGGGGGATGCGAGAGCACGGAGCAGGA